TCATTTCTTTTATTCCCGCACCAGGAAATGGTTTTACAACAATTTTATGCTTCATTCCTTGTTGAATTCGTCTCGCGTTTATTTGTTTAAGCATAGAATCGCCCAAAATAGCAACTCTTGATTGTCCTACGCGCGGAGTGCGAGAATCTTGGGCTCGCTCGTTGTTGTTGTTATTTCGGTCGTTGTCTGCTTGTTGTTTTCTAGGCGCAGAATAGTTACGTCTTTTGTCTTCATTGGACCTGATGGTGTGTCTGGGTGGTTCAGATTGATTTCTATTCTAGTGATATTTTTGATACGCTGGCATACGTTAGTACGATACGCAATAGTGTGACAGGGCCTTAAAGCAGCGCAGCCAAACGTAACTTGCGATTTGCGAAGGTTGGTGTTTCCATGTCCAAAATCCTTTTAAAATTGTTCAACTTTCCCGCATTTTCCTCAAAATGCAGGGTTATTTATGGATAATTTGGGTAGAATAGGCAGAAACCTTGTGGATATTTTGGGGGGAAATTAGGCAGCTCATTAATATTCTATTTTGTGGCTATCAACGACGATCGGAAATCTGCATGACATCCACCATGCGTGCCGAAACCTATACTCGTCTGGGGTACAGGTGCCCCAGGAAGTAAAAAGTAGTCACAAACAACACTGAAATAGCTGAATGTTTAAACCAATATTTTGCTGAAATAGGGTCCAAATTTACAAACAACGTACCACAATCTACCAAAGGCAAAGCTTTTCATCAATATGTGCCAACAGCTGCCACTGGAACGATGTTTATATTACGCCCAACTACTTCGGATGAAGTTATTACATTAATAATGTAAAGCTACATGTAAAGCTACAGGTCTAGACCAAATTCCGTGCAAATTACTTAAACTCTCTGCACCTATGGTTTCGAAATCATTGTGCGATAGTTTTAATTTATCTATACAAACAGCAGTATTCCCTGGTGACTGGAACTTAGCGAAAGTCTCCCATGTATACAAAAGTGACGCAAAAGATAACGTAAGGAATTACAGACCAATTTCGGTTTTAAGCCGGTGTGATTTCTAAGGTTTTCGAGCGTATTGTTTTTTGATCAGCTTTATACCTATTTCAATAAGAACAACCTGTTATACAAGAATCAATCAGGCTTTAGAAAGTGCCACTCTACTATGACTGCACTAATAGATGCCACTATTGAATGGCTAGCAAATATGTATCATGCTTAATGCGGTTGTCTATATTGATCTAGAGAAGGCATTTGATACAATAAGTCACGAGATATTACTCGAGAAACTCCACATTTACGGGGTTGATACAAATAGTTTATCTTGGTTTCCATCCTATTTACAAGATCGCAAACAAAAATGTTATGTGAATGGCGTTCTATCCGGCGAACGTACCATTAATTGTGGTGTGCCTCAGGTGTCAATTCTTGGACCGTTATTGTTTCTCATATACAGGGTGTATTAAAAAAAGGAGACCTTTAGAAATCAAGCATATTGTTAAAATTTGAATGCCTTTTCAATTGCACACATGCTGAACCGTAGTGCGTGAAATATTGATGGTTGCATATATTAGAAAATAGAGACCTTTAGAAATTGAAATACCGTTTAAACAAAAGGTTGTCTGCTCCTGCAATCTGCCATGCATACTGTACGTAGATCGCATGTTACGCACTCGTGGGCTTAGCAAAGTGCTCCAGGATTCAAATTATATCAATGGTTAATTTCTAAAGGTCTCCTTTTTCTAATATATGCACTCCATCAATATTTCACGCACCACGGTTAAGCACATGTGCAATTGAAAAGGCATTCAAATTTTAACAATATGCTTGATTTCTAAAGGTCTCCTTTTTTTATATACACCATGTACAGGGTGTCCCAAAAAAAGTGACGCTATAGAAATTATCTCATTGTTCTTAAGCCGCTCTTAAACGCGCGTGGTTACACGCCTGGGAATTTAATGAACTTGTATTTACATTTAAGCATTTTAAAACGTTTTCGCTTTGTCCAAATATTTTAACGCCGAGTCAAGCAAGACAATTACACTAATAAACGGTTTGCTTTTTAGTCGCTGGGCAGAGCCCGCAGCGACTCTAGGTTTCGGCACGCATTTGTGTCGAATCTTGGATCGTTAGCCACAAAATGACAATTACGTCATTAATAAAAAATAAAAATTACGTCATTACTATTCGTCGCTGAATTCAAGATGGCCGCTTACTGCGAGCGAATGGTATCATCGATTTTGTACATAATTTTTTTATTTTTCCGATGAACCTTAAAAGTTTTCCGATGAAACAGACTTTATAAAGCGAAAGTCATTTTATGTGAGTAAACTTGGAAGGCTACAAGCTTGAAATAGAGGACAAAAGTTTACAATTTTCAATTTTACAAAGTTGGAACGGGCCGCAACCTTTGTAAATCGCAACAATAATATTCGCAAACTGCTGTTTATTTGAGTGCTTTTTTTACGGCTGTTGATGCAAATAATCCTGTTACGGATAGGTGGTCAAAAGAACATGGTGTAGCCTAACAAGACCGAAATACAACCACAGTGATCACTATTCATCACTACTTGTGTGAAATTTAAACTTTGCCGCCAGGTGTCAGGCTTTTAAATCTGTAATATATCAGTCATTTTATGATCAATGTATTGTGTTTCTAACGCCGAACGGGAAAATGTTGGAGCCACAGTAATAGACTCTTTCAAGGTGAAGATGCCATAATGAAAGTGTCACACAAAGTGTCAGAGCTGCAAACACAATGGAAATTCCTACTATTAATTTGCAAGGTTGTATAAACACAATGGTGAAAACAATGTATTGAAATTAAGTAGGTGGGGAGGGGGGGGGGGCAATGCAACTCAATGGGTTATTAAAAGTAACTAGGTGTCAGGCCTGCTATTGAGGTCAGTAAAAAGGATTGATGCACATGATTCGTACGCAAAATTCCCATTGGTCAGAAATAAATAGCTTTGTTTTTAAGGTAATGCCAAATTGTTGTTTACGTAATGATATTCCGTACTTGTAATTGTACTTTAACTACTTTTGGCCATGTTAATGACTGCCTTTGCTGCAGTCAATAACAGTTATTATTATTATTTAATATGTAATTCCTGGCCATTTGATGAAAATTGGAATATTTAGTTTTGAGATATTGGTGGAAAAGTTGGCCATTATTGTCATATTTTAAATTAGCTTTGATAATCTAATGTATCAATTAATTCCAGCAGTTCCCACCCCTGGGCCTTTGCAGCTTTTCCTAATCACGGGGGTGGGGCTATTGCCGATATTTTTTAGCCCTGGGGTGAGGATTTTGACATTTTCCATCATGGAGGATTTGGTAGATTTGCTGGAAAACTGATATTTAATTTGATTGCAAATGGCTTGTGGACATAGCCATTTTCTTCCCAGAAATGGCTAATACCTCGGGGGGATGGGCACTGCTGGAATTGACTGATACGTAATTAACAATCACCATTTTGATTGGTTGTTATTTTTGTGCATCCCAATCACTGTCCACTTTTTATTGATTTCAGTAACAGGCTTACCCTGCGAGCAAAGTCCTCTCGTATTTCTTCTCAGCATGAGAGAGACTCTGCAGAACTTGTGTATATTCTTTGTGGAGCCGACAATCCAAAAACGTGGATAATTATGAGTAATTTCAAGTTTGACACCAGTTTTATAACCGGTTTTGATCTGAACCGGAAACTACTTATTAAATCTTCTTCTGGGAAATAGGCAGTTGCTTAGCAACCTTCGCGCATGCTCAAATGAATTTATACACAAGTTCTGCAGAATCTCTCTCGTTTCTCTGTGCCGTGCCGAGAAGAAATACGAGAGGACTTTGCTCACAGGGTATAACAGGCTCTATTTCAAGCATTGAGCCTGACACGCAAGCTACCTTCAAAGGGCCTATTTGGCAACTTCTGTTGTGGTTACCCAGCCTGAGGCAAAAGTAATAAATTATGAATTGTTATAAATGTTCTGTGAAGTGCACATATTTTTCCTGCAGTTAGGGACCAGTCCTTATTTATGGAAGAGGGAATGGGGGGGGGAGGGCAAATGGTGGGGCCATGACCCATGAGTATAAATAATTTACTAGAAGGGGGGGCATTAAATTTTTTGAGAAAACCTGTTGAAGGGTCAAAATGTGGAGTTGCAATAAATTTGTTTAATTAAGCCTGGTTTCCAGTGTCCTCGAAGTTGGCCTAAGCCAGATGAATCCAATAAATGATATCAACCTCGTACCCAGGGCTTCTGCGCTTATACACTGCTCTCAGAAGAAAGAGCAATAAGCGCAGAAGCCCTGCGCAGAAGACCTTATTTTAATATGCCCAGCGACTAAACGCTCAACAGAGCGTCTTGTTTATTTTAAATTCCAGAAGCAGAAGTGGGATCAACTTAATGCTAGGGCATTCAAATTATAACAATACAATAGGATAATTTCTATAGTGTCACTTTTTTTCGGACATCCTGTATATCAACGATCTTCCTCAGTGTTTAAAAATTCTACAGCTCGAATGTACGCTGACGATACAAACATAACAACGACAGGAACATCTATTCGAGAAATAGTAACACATGCTAATAATGACTTCAATAATATAAGTGACTGGCTGAAGGCAAACAAACTCAGCCTTAACGTGACTAAAACTGAGTACATGTTCATTGGATCAGATCAAAATCTTGATAAGTTAAGAGATATTGCACTATTATTTCTTGAAAACAAAGCTATAAGAAGGGTCAAAGCAACCAAGTCATCAGGTGTACATATTGCTGAAAGACTAACATGGCATGAGCACATTCAAAATATTTTAAATTAAAAAGTAGGTGCTGGAATTTCAGGTTTACGGCGGGTAAGGGAACTTGTCCCATTATCGACATTGTTAACAATCTATAACTCATTAATACAACCATTATTTGATTACTGCGATGTTGTTTGAGCGGACAGCCTTCCTGCTGCTGGTGCTAGCAAAATCGTGCCGCTAGCCAGGTGATCTCGGAACTCGGAAAAGGCCTGGCACTAGTTGTAAAATAGAAGTTCATTTCTGATTTAAAACATTCTCGTACCCAGAGCCCTTCTTACGCGCGGTGCGACGTAAAACCCATCACCAGGATACCATAAAACAAATCCATAACCAGGATACCATAAAAACATGGTAAGAAAACAATATCCAGTGTTAGAGCTAGCCAATCATATGCCAGTTCGGAATATGGATTTGGCCAGAGCCCCTCGTCGCACCGCGCTTAAAAAGGGCTCTGGGTACGAGAATGGGTTTAAAATTACTCAATATCTCATCAACGGTATTAGATTTCTATCTCAAATTTGATCCAGATATTCATTTCCCTGTGCAAGACACAGACACAAAGTTTCAAAAGTTTCACAAAAGAATCAGGGTGTGACAAGTGATTAAAGGTATGAAACTGGATTTCTATTCTATTGCTAGTCCCAGTTCTTTTGCTCACCGTCAGATCACCTGGAGAGATAAGATCAAAATATCAGATCCAATGAAGTAAGGAAAACACTAAACTGGAAAACTCTTGCTGAAATGCGAGACATACACAAATTAACTATGATGTATAAGATATTAAATAATTTAGCACCAAATTATTTGAGAGACCATTTTGAAATGTCTGCCATGGATATATTTAAAGATTAAGAGATAGAAAACTATGCCTTGTACTACCAAAGCCTCAAAAGGAATATTTAAAGAAAAGCTTTGCATTTTCAGGGGTAAAATTGTGGAATACTTTACCAAAAGGTGTAAAATACAGCAACAGTTTGAGTCAGTTTTAAAAAGGAGCAATAATCCCATTATCAGCTTTTAGCTAAAATTGTATATATTTTCGGCTTTCTTGTAAAGCAGTGCTATGCACTGAAGAGGCTGAAGAACTTCCGAATTCAAATAAATCTCTCTCTCCTATTCAGGTAAGTATGAATCTATTTCTTTCTTCTAAAATAAAATACATCAAGGCGATGACCGTTCTAGTGTTCAATCTAGATGCAAACAATGTGCTTTTATGAGTTAATATCGCCGGTTTTAACCGCTCAAAATATTCCAATGATGTGGCACTGACCGATTAATCAACACAACATTGAATAACGTCTTATTAATACAAGGAGACAAAATGTACGTGTAACCTCTGTATAATATATATGGCTTTGTTGTCATACAACCTGGTGTCGAATTGTTATCTGCAGGAAAATAAAATTGAACCACTCATGGACATGTAATACAATCAAAATAGAGAATAGGTCAGAAAAAAATAGTAAAAAGCCACTGAAAAATTAGCGTATGCACTCTCTTCAGCCACCTTGATAACATACTAAAAGTCCTCATGTATCCTCTTGGAGCTTTCTCCATTATGACACGTTTTTTGTTCGATTTCCCTAGTGAACTCCTATATTGTTAAAAAAGTGAAATTTCACATTCATTTACAAGAAAAATAAGTTACATTATTAGAAAACTTACAAAAAACTACATATAAGACATTTAAGCGGCTACCTTGATTTTGCAAGTTCTTCTGTTGAGTTATGAGCTGTTGGAAACGTGTTGTCAGACCAGTACCCAGGATTTTTGCCAGATTTTGGCCTATTTGTCACATTTGAAACAGCAATAACTGGAAACCGCTTGAAAAATTTAGGTGACTGTTTAAATGTCTTATATGTAGTTTTTATGAGCTTTCTAGTGATGCGAGTCATTTTTGTTATGAGTGAACTTGACATTTCACGTTTTTTAACAATATGGGAGTAATAGGGAAATCGAAAAAAACCTTGTCATAATGGAAAAAGCTCCAAGAGGATACATGGGGACTTTTAGTATATTTTCAGGATAGTTAAATTATCGCATCTAACAATTTTTAGCTTTTTACTATTTTTTTCGAACCTTGGCCTTAAAATGAGCTAAAATTACCGAACTAATGGTTGTTCGACAGAACAACATTGTGGTGGGACAAAATAATATTTAACAGTCAACCCACTGTGGTGGATTCCATTGAGGCACAAAATATCATTCGACTACCCATTGTGGTAGAGCCCATTAAATTAAAGCAAAAAAATAATATTCGAATACTCATTGTGGTAGAGCCCATTGAGGCACAAAATAACATTGAAATGCCCATTGTGGTAGGACCTGTTGAGGCAGAAAGTATCACTGATCTGCCCACTGTAGCAAAGCTCAATAGACAATTCCAGCTTTTAATTTCTGCGTACAGGGTATGACGAGAGGTAAGGTATCATATTGCTGACCATGCAGAAAAATTCAATAAAAACTGCATAGTATAAGCTATCACTCCGTGTTTACACGGCCACCATTCTTGACTCACGGATGTTGCGAGTGGAGTGAGTGTGGGGCAGTTAATTAAACAATGGGAAATGACCAATCTGCTTTACGTGCACTGCTTGCCAGTGAATCGGGACTTTCAGAACTGGAAATCGGACTGGAGCACGCGTTCGTTCTTCTGATTGCCGTGGCAAAAGTAGCACGACAAATGGGAAAACTTGCACAAATTTGATCTCATTCGTGAGTTGCCTCGACTGCCTTTGATTATTTTTTCAGCATAATAAGCAATATGATACTGTATTCCTATCCTCCCCCCGCCCCTGCACGTATACACTGAAAGCTAAAATTGCCTATTCTGTGGTGCCTAATATCTCATGCTACCACTTATTTGTGAATGGTGCCATGTTAATTGCTGGATGAAACCAAATGGATGTTACAGTCAAAATATAATACGGATATATTACATCACATGTAATAGGATGGGAGCTGCTGGATTAACAGAAATGTATTCCAATTAATACAAGAATGCTGATTTACAAGATTGTTTGGATATACTTAATCTGCCATTATTAAATTACCATACTTGTTTCCAATCTACCTTGATATGGATGTCAGGAACATTGTATGTCATGATATTACAAACCTGTATATGTACAGCAACCTAACAAGTTATTCAGAGGACAATAGTGATGCCCAACAATGGACACTATATGCTAAATGAATATTAGTGTACTACATATTGGACAAAAAAACAATGGTAACACTTGTTTGCCAAATGAAAACAAACAAACAAAAGACCATCATTATTTGCAACAAACTTAATCGTACCACGTTAAAATTCCGAAGTACACAGTATGTTGAAATTTCGATACTCTTTTAACAAAATATTATTTTGTAAAATTTATTGATACAGTGTGCATAAGGGAATTTAAATAAACTATTTTTATTGATATAATCAATCCCCAGGGCTTTGGTCGTAAGGCAGCACTTGCCATGCGATAGTAACTTCTAGTATACTATGTTGCGTCGTTTGGGAAGGACAGGGTTTATATAAAATAAACTTGATATTGAAATATTTCGCGAATACCTGCATGTCTAATAGGCTTTAGATTAAGAGTCGTTTGCAAGATTTATCGTCTAAAATGTGAACTGCACAGGGTGTGCAAAAAAGCGGAGTCCTCCATTCCGGCAAACCTTAGTTTCGATAAGAATAATAAAGTGAACCGTTACGTCTATATTTACATTCATTTTAATTAAATCTCATTCAGATGTTCAAAGGACTGTTATACTTTAGTCGTTTAGAAATTTGCGCGAATGGTTTGGAAAAAGATATTATTTTAGTGACTGAGATTGGAGAATCAAAAACTTGAGATGCAAACCAACTAAATACTGTCCATTTATTATGGTTCCACAGAACTAAAAACTCGAAGCATTTCGCCAATAACAAATAACAACTAAGAAACCACGGCATTTTGCATTTTTGTACACTAATTTTAGTTATTGATTTGCTAGCCATACATGAGTCACAAAGACCTAGTCTAACCGTCGTTTAAGCTTGCATCAACTGGTCTAAATTTGTTTACATATAACAACACAATTCCACAGCGTTGCTGCATGAGTATAAACGATACAAGAAATATTGTTCTAGGAATTGGACATCTGGAAAGGAATCTGACATATGAGACGAAAAATATCTTTTAAATAGTTTCTTAATAATTCTTACTACTTCTCGTGATGCAGCAACAGTATTAAAGTTTAAACAAGAAAATTCAAGATTTAAAATGCCACTATGAATTGCGCTATTAATCGTATATCGGCATCCAAAAATCCTTTCGATTTACTAAATTTTCTCTTGTAATTGACTGCTTTTTATCTGCACTTTAGAGTCTTTAGACAAAAATGATCACTTGCTTGAAAGAGAAAAGGCCAGACGTTAAAATATATGACTAAACTAATATAATCAGGACTAGTATTCCGAAAATTACTAGGCTTAAAATTAAGGTTTTCTATGCACCCTGTATACCTGTAGGGTAGTTGAGACTGTATATTATATATTCTTGTGTAGTTTAAACCACAAATATCACTTACCGTTTATTACACAGTGAATTATTCGCTTTGACGAAACCTTAGGTGTCTCACTTTCTTCGAAGCAAATTTTATTCGTATAGCTACTTTATTTGTACCAAAACGTAGAAGAAATTCCGAAGACGAAGCATTCGATACACGCTAAATATACAGATAAGCTCGAAAATAAGGGAATTCCCCTCGTTACACTGGGGAAACACCGAGGGTTTCTTTTGAGATGTTTGAAGGAGTATATGATGCTGTTTCTGGTCTGAAAACTGAAAAATATTTAATAATTTACTAAAGAGTTGTAACGGTGGTACAAGCAATACAAATTATTGCCTAACAGTGACCAAAAAGGTAAAATTTTAGACTATTTTGTTGATTAATGACCGAGGGATTTCCCCTCAGTATTCACAAGATTTAAACAAATCATCTTTTAAACATCCAGAGTGTGTTTATTCCAAATATATCTACATTATTCTATCAATATGTACCTTTAATAGCATGCTCGTAAGTACAAGTGCTTTTAGTGTATATTTTCGTATAAATAGTGTAGTTTCCGTTGTAATATATCAGTAGACACAATCTCAAAATTCAAATGATTTTCCTGTCCTCAATGCCCGCAGTCAATACGTACTGGGAACAAAATCAAATTTATTATTTATACAAGGCTTATATGAATACAAGGCTTTATATGAATACAAGGCTTATATGAATACAAGGCTTTATTATGCGGCATTCTACGCAAGATATTGACTTCCGTTTTTTTTAAATTTTCCTACATTCCTTTTGCCCCAACTGGTGGGGGTGCAATATGACTTTGCATGTTCATATCCTCGGTTCGTTACATGCTATGAAGACAAAAATTAATACTGCCATTCAATGCAATGAACCAAGAAACAATATCTTCTAATTCCCAACAATGTTTTTAGTTCAATGTCATCATTAGATCTATTTATCACATTTGGAGGTCAACCGATACAGGGCCGTTCCTAGATGCGATAAATGGGGGGGGGGGGGGGGGAGGGAACATTCAACTTTATAAACATCTTAAGTTAAATGTTTATGCCGAACATATTCAACGGCATCAACATCGATGTTGAATGATTATGCCAAAGGCATTCAGCGGCATAACCTTCCAATGGTTATGCCCAAGACAGCCAATGGCATAATATTGTTATGCCGAAGAGACAATCAACGGATTAACCATCCAAGTAGAATGGTTATGCCAAAGACAGTCAACACCGTAGCCATCCAAGTTGAAAGGTTACGCCGAAGACAGTCAACGGCATAACAGTCCAAGTTGAATTGTTATGCACAAGAGACAGTCCACGTCATAACTGCACCATCCAAGTTGAATGGTTATCCAGAAGGGCCAGTCAACGGCATAACCTTCCAATGGTTATGCTGAAGACATTCACCAGCATAACCATGCAAGTTGAAAGGTTATGCCAAAGACTGTCAACGGCATAACCATCCAAGTTAAATGGTTAAGCAGAAGGAACAGTGAGTGGCATAACCATCCAATGGTTATGCTGAAGACATTCAACGGCATAACCATCCAAGTTGAATGGTTATGCCGACCAGAGAGTCAGCAGATAACTATCCAAGTTGAAAGATTATGCCGAAAAGAGTCAACGGCATAACAGTCCAAGTTGAATTGTTATGCACAAGAGACAGTCAACGTCATAATCATCCAAGTTGAATGGCTATGCAGAAGGGCCAGTCAACGGCATAACCATCCAATGGTTATGCTGAAGACATTCAACGGCATAACCATCAAAGTTGAAAGGTTATGCCGAAGACAGACAACGGCTTAACCATCAAAATTAAATGGTTATGCAGAAGGGACAGTCAACGGTTATGCTGAAGACATTCAACGGCATAAGCGTCCATGCTGAAAGGTTATGCCAAGGAGAGAGTCAGCGGTTAACCATCCAAGTTGAATGGTTATCCCGAAGGGACATTCAAGGCCATAACCATCCAAGTTAAATGGTTATGCAAAAGGGACAGTCAACGGCATAACCATCCAATGGTTATGGCGAAGGCAATCAACGGTATAAATTCATAAACATCCTAAGTTAAATGTTTTTGCCGAACATACTCAACGGCATAAACATCTATATGCTAAATGTTTTGCCAAAGGCATTCAACGGCATAACCATCCAATGGTTATGCCGAAGACAGTCAACGGCGTAACCATCCAACTTGAAAGGTTATGCCAAACACAGCCAAGGCCATAACCATGCAAGTTAAATTGTTGTGCTGAGGAGACAATCAACGGCATAACCATCCAATGGTATGACAATGCAAGTTAAATGTTTACGCCGAACATTATGCAACTTCATAAACATCCTAAGTTAAATTATATTGAATGTTTATGCCGAAGACATTGATCGTGATAACCATCCAAAAGTAGTGCGAAAAACTGTCAACATATTTAATTCTACTTACAAAATAACTTGAATCTACTTGTAAGATAACTTACAAGATAACTTGAATCTACTTACAAGATAACTTAAATCTACTTGGCAGTATGATGGGATTGCTTAAAAAATGCCCGACAATATTTGCCGGGCACTTTCTAAGTTCCATTCCTTCACTTCCTGTTTACGCTCTAGTACTTACCTACTGTGTAACCAATTTGTCGAATTACAACTTCCTTACACTTACTAGCCTTTAGAGTCTTGCACTTTATCTTAAGATTCTTTATTTCCTTTAGAAGTTTCTTTGTCTTGTCGACCCTAAAGTACTCCTCTATATCCAGCACTATTTCTGTGTAATCATTTGATATTAATGTCTGGTATCCATTTTCATTTAGCGCCTTTAGCCATGACACTTGGTTGTCCCTAACTTCACCTGTGCCCTTAGGAGTCTTGAGCTCTATTGCGAATCCATGGAAACCATTACTTGGAGTTATTATCATAAGGTCCGGTTGTCCACCCATATATCCCTTCCTCCAAGCGTCGCATCTCTTTTGTGATGTATCCTGGTACTCTCCTAGTCCCGGTAGGATTAGGGCTTTTGGGTGGTACTCTTTAAGATATTCTACAACAGCATAATGAAGGTCCGTTTCATTAATTAGCTTCATCTGATTACAATAGAGTGGCTCAGATTCCGGTAACTTGTATGAACCTGTTTTACAGATCGATGGAAGCACCTCACTGAATACCCAGTCCTGAAAGGCCTCTGCTATTGGGAGCGTTGAGTTGAATATTAGTTGGTACAAACCAGGTTCTCTTAGGAAAACAGAATTTGGGTCCCACCCCAAGTTCTCCGAGTGTTGTCTTGTTTGACTTCCATACATGGGTTTGAATAGCTTTCTTCATATTTGAGTACCCTAGGGATTCTGCCACATCCTTTGCATAGAACAGTATCTCCTCACCACTCTTAACGGTTCTCACACTAACATTCAACTTTTGGTTCCTGAATAATTTCTCCATCTTTCCTATACTATATGTGTAAAAATTTCTGAGCTATTTTATTCCGATTTATTTTGATTTATTTTTGGAGCAGCATTCCCTCAGCCCACCCAGCTGCTTCCCACTATTTCATACTTCCTATTACAAAAAATTATTTTGCCTACTGCATTTCATTTAGATTCTTGTATATATTTACAACTGTTTTTATTGTATCATTTTTAAAAGCTTCAAAGTCATACTTTAGTGAATCCAAAGTTGCCTGAATCGTATCCAGCTGTTCCCTGTTTTTATCAGTTTTCTCAATCAATTCATTAATTATGTCTTCATATTCTGTTCCTTCCCAGGTGTAGGGCCCTCCGAGTCGTGGCATTCTGTATGTAATAGAAGATGTTTAGCTTCCTCAGACACTTCCTCAGGTTCCTCCTTCTTATTTCACTTATGGGCAACCACATGCTTAGCTGTTGTACAACCACCAGATATGAGCCCTATGAATGGTATGTTGGGAGATATCGCTCTGGTTAAATATACTACATCGTCCTTCAGAAGCTTGTCACTAAGTAGTTCCTCTGACAGTTTCTCTGAAGATTCCACTGCACCAAAACTTCCCAGGACTGACGCAAACTTTGAGATAATAAGTGTTGATAAGAAGTCGCTTGCACATGACATCCTCTGACTTTCGTACTCATGGTACAGTCTATCTACGACATCCTTGTTAGACTTTCTTATAAAACTTGCGGGCTTCTCTATTATACCGTCCCTAGATAGCTCTATAAGTTTGTCCCTTTTGCTTTCAGTTTGATCAAACCGTTGAGCAGACATTCGGCCGTGAGTCAAAAACCAAAGGTGGTGTTGTTGGCGTTTTTCTCAATCGTCCTGCTCTTAAACGTTGGATCCTGTCACAACCTCAGAGGGTTGCGATAGCCAAGAAATGCAAGAATATGGCTGGTATAGAGAAGCCCACAAGGTATAAAAAATATCTTTTCAAACTATTGTGCTTCATTCATTTTCTCTTTTAATGATTATTTGAATAATAACCGTGGACTTTTTTTCATTAAAGAGCAAGAAAGGATACTGATATATCTAGAATGAAAGCTGGTGAAGAACAAGTGAAAGAAGTAATCAAGGTAATCAATGAGATGATCAACCCTTTTGAAAATGATCCACAAGAGGAAGGTCTCGTCAGCTTGTCCAGTGGCGTTGCTGCCCCAGATGATGTGGTCTCAGATTTGTCAAGTGCTTTTGACAAAGGAAAGAAGCATTTACGCTATTGGTTTCAAATAAATTGCTGGTCGAAGAACCTGATATATTTTCAACGATTCCAAAAATGAAACTAAAAACATTTGATGCATTGAACAAGCCTGTATCACAAATGACTTCGAAAGGTCAAGTTGATTCTTTGAGGACTGACAGAAATACCTTTGCCAGGCTATTCGTTATTGGCCAGAAAAGATCAATCGATGTGCAACAAATGCTTTCCTTTTGCCTTGGCCCTTACCCTCTATCATTAGCAACCGTTACTGGAAATATTTGCAAAACAACTAAAGCAAGGTTACTTCAATCATTCCAATCTGAATTCCCTGATTGCATTGTTGATAATTTTCCTGATGCCAGTTGCGTTCTCATTGATGCAATGGCGGTTCTTCAATCCACAGTCCTCGTGCCCGAAACCTACGGAGAACTTGCTGAAGCTATTCTTGCTGGAGTGCTAGCTGTAGCCCGCAAGTTCAAGGCGTCCCGTGTGGACTTTGTGAGTGATCGTTATCCGGCACAAAGCATAAAAAATGCAGAGAGAGAAAAGAGAGCGACTCAGGGCGAATGCAGCGTTCGTATTTATGCAAAAGATCAGAAAGTTTTCAAACCCTGGAAGAAATTCCTAACAAACGGCAAGAATAAAGAAAATCTGGTTTCCTTTTTGCAGGATACATGATCGAACATGGAGGAGCGCCATTTGGGTGAACTTGAACTATTCGTCACATCTGGATCCAACTGCACAAAGTTGTCGAGTACAGCTGAAATTCTACACCATGATATGGTCATCGAATTTTGAGACTGTGATCATGAAGAAGCTGACGCGAGACTGATGCTCCATGCGGAAAATGCAGCAAATTGCGGTCACCAAACCATTGTTATCAAGTCGCCAGACACGGATGTCTTTATTTTGGGACTATAATCAAAGATTTCTCTTCCAGACACGTCATTGTTTCTTTACACTGGCTCTGGTGAACACAGTGGAGTATTATCGCTTGATGTAATTTCATCTTCAATACCGCCCGAGCTTAGTTCTGCTTTACCTGGATTCCATGCATTCACTGGTAGGTATATTCATTCAGTGGCGGCGCCAGGCTTCCAAATTGGGGGGGGGGGAATTTGAGGGGCAAACTCAAATTTTGGGGGGCAAGATCGAATTTTTAAAAGGGTCGCCCCCAGGAAATTCGCCCCCCCCCCTCAAAATGTGGCGATATTCCTAGGAATATCGCCCCGGGGGCGAATATCCTAGGAATATCGTCTCCCAGGGGGGGGGGGGGGGAAAACCCTGG